GGTAGGGTAAGGTATGGCTGATATGACCTCTACCTTAGCCTTATCAACTTCTAAACCCCTTTTAGAAACAACAAGTTCCAAAACAACACCTTTATCTACCATAAAATGACACTTTTCAAAATTCAGGACAAGGTTTGACTCAACACATCTTTGTAAAACCATAGCTAAATGTTCTAAACCCTCATCAAAATTGTCTCCATACACAGTAAAATCATCCATGAAAACCACCATTATTTTTGTCAAGTAATCTGAAAAGATGCTGGTCGTGCACCTTTGGAATGTTGCAGGGGCATTGCACACACCAAAAGGCATTCTTTTAAAAGCAAAAGTCCCATAATGACAAACAAAGGTGGTCTTTTCCTGGTCTTCAGGAGAAATAGGGACTTGAATGTATCCTGAATACCCATCCAGGAAACTATAATGGGATCTTCCAGGCAATCTCTCTAACATTTGGTCCATAAAAGGTAAAGGAAAATGGTCTTTCTTGGTGGCCTTATTTACTTTCCTATAGTCTATGCATACCCTCCACCCTGATTGAACCCTTTTAGTAATCTGTTCCCCTTTCTCATTGGTAACTACTGTGGCTCCTCCTTTCCTAGGAACTACATGAATAGGACTCACCCATTCAGAGTTTGAAATGGGGTAAATTACATCATCCTGAATCCATTTTAAGAGTTCCTTTTGTACAACCTCTAACATTGGGGGGTTGATTCTTCTTAAAGGGTCAACCCTAGGCTCAGAACCAGGTTCTAAAAGAATCCTGTGACTATAGAAGGCTGGACTGATGCCCTTCAAGTCAGCTAAGGTCCACCCTATGGCTCCACTGAATTGTTTTAACACTCCTAACAGCCTATCTTCTTGTTCCTCAGTTAGTTTACTTGAGATGATCACTGGTAAGGTTTTGTTCAAGCCTAAATAAGCATACTTAAGATCTAAGGGTAGAGGTTTCAAATCCAACTAAGGTGGTTGGACAAGGGAGGGCAACTGTCTGGGTACATTTTTAGGCAGCTCTAGAGTATGAGTTAAAGAAACAGTTTTAACCTCAGATAACATTTTAACATATTTATGAATTTCTGAATTTACAGTGTATGGAGAGAATTTCAAGGATTCAGGATCCAGACTATTGGACACCACACTCAAAAGCTCATCCTGATTTGATAATTGAAAAACATCTTGTGCCATTTCATCAATGATGTCGAATGTAAAAACTTGATTGAGTTGATCAAGAAACTTCATTGCTTCAAAAATATTAAACTTAATAACTTCATTTTCAAATTCTAAGGACAAAGTTCCTGCATCAACATCAATTTTGGCCTTAGCAGTTTTCAAAAAAGGTCTGCCTAGAAGGAGTGGGATGCCTGAATAATCCTTTCCCATGTTAAGGACATAAAAGTCAGCAGGAAAGAGCATGTCATTGACCTGGACCAAAACATCCTCAACCACCCCTTCAGGGTAAGTCAAACTCCTATCAGCAAGTTGAATAACTACCCCAGTCTCTTTTAGTTCTCCTACCCCCAACTGGTCAAATAACTCCCTAGGCATGACATTGATGGATGCTCCTAAATCAAGTAAAGCCTTGGTATTCTCCAAATTTCCAATCTTACAA